TAACATAATAGATGGGTCGTTGAACCCGATCTACTTYTTTTATTAGTAYCGAACTGACCACTTCGTCGCTTGCCGAGAGGTACAGTTCTAAAATGTCACCCTCTTCGGGCTGGGTTAAGATCGGCACACTAGCGAGGTATTTCTTGAGCTCGTCAAACGCAAGCTGACAGTCTTGGGTCCATTCGAGCCCTTTGCTCTTGATTGCCTTAAAGAATGGCAGACAGTGGTCTGCCGATTTGGACATGAAGCGGCTCAGGGCGGCTATTCAGCCGTTCAACCTCTAAACCTCCTTCAACTTCCGGGGTGGTTTCAATTCTAAGATGGCCTTAATCTTATCCGGGTTGGCCTCAATGCCGCGCCGGTTAACGATGTATCCTAGGAACTTGCCCGAGGTCACACCGAATACACACTTGTTTGGGTTCAGTCTCATATTAAACTTACGCAGAATTTCGAAAACAAAATGCAAAACTTGTATTAATTCATGTGAGAATTGAGTTTTGACGACCATGTCGTCTACATAGCATTCTACCTTTCTGCCAATTAATGGCGCAAACAACTTATTTACAAGCCTTTGAAAGGTTGCCCCTGCGTTTTTCAACCCGAAGGGCATAACCTTGTAACAATATAGACCGAACTTTGTGATGAAGGCAATCTATTCTTCGTCTGACGGGTCCATCTTGATTTGGTTATAGCCCGAATAGGCGTCCAAGAAACTTAGCAACTCGTGCCCTGAGGTCGCGTCCACCAAGCGGTCAATTCTGGGGAATGGGAAGCAGTCTTTTGGGCAAGCCCGATTTAGATCGGTGTAGTCGACGCACATGCGCCACTTGTCGTTGGCCTTTTTTACCAGGATGGGGTTGGCCACCCAGGTAGGGTAGTGGACTTCTCTTATGAAGTCAGCTGCGAGGAGCTTCTCGACCTCCTCGTCGACCGCTTTCCACCGCTCTGGGGCTAGGTTGTGTTTCTTCTATCTAACGAGCCTAACTACAGGATCAGTATTCAGCTAGTGAGTTATAAGGTTGGGGTCTATACCGGGCATCTCTGCCGCGGACCACGCAAAAATATCCAAATTTGGAAGTAAAAAACTTACCAGTTTAGATCATAGAGGTTCCTGGACAGAAGCACCGATCAGAAACGTTCGAGCTGGGTCTGCCGCTGAGGTCGGGACTGCGACTGTTTCTTCCATGTGCGTGGTTCGTTCCTCGCTTTGCTCCGTAGGCCGCTCCAGCTCGAGGTCGTCGGCCACCTTGGTCTTTCCCTTCAGGGCGGCGACGTAGCACTTGCTGGACTCGAGCTGGTCGCCCCGCGCTACCCCCACGCCGAAGTCTGTTGGGAACTTCATTGCCAAATAGTAGGTGGAGACCACCGCCTGTAGGACATGGGTGATCGGCCGGCCTATTATGGCATTGTAGGGGGAGGGGGTCACAACTACCAGGAAGTCGTGTTTGAATCTGACCACGCAAGGCCACGTGCCAACTTCCACAGGTACTGTTATTTTCCTAAGGGGCCAGACTTCTTCTCCGCTGAAGCCCACCAAAGGAGTGTCCGCAGACTTCAGGTCGCTTCTCTGTAGCTGAAGTTGGTTGAACGCAGCTTTGAAGAGGATGTCGGCTGAACTGCCTGAGTTGACAAGCACGCGCTTGACCTCGAAGTCATTGATCCTCAGCTTTACCACAAGTGCGTCACCGGGGGGGTAGTGAACCCCTCGCGCATCATCTTCTGTGAAGAAAATTGGCTCTTCTGTTCTCGGCCGCTTTGGAGGGTTCTGCTCTTCTCGGGCGGCCTTACGAATTGACGTCTGAGCCGCTGCCGAAGTACAACCTGCAATGATCGAGCCTTCCACTATCATGTAGATGGTCCCCCGAACCGGCCTCTCTTCCGGAGGCTGCCTCTGTGGCTGTTCGGCCGGCCTGCTGCTGGACTTGGGAGAATCCTTACCGTGCTCCCCTTGCCAACCTGCTTTATTATTATTATTACTATTATTATGTACAAAATTTCTTAAATACCCGCGACGGATGAGCTCCTCAATCTCGTCGTGGAGGTTTTTACAATTTTCGGTACTATGACCGTGATCTCTATGAAAACTGCAGTATAGATTCTTATTTCTTTCATTGGGATTCCCCTTCAAACGAGGCAGCCACTTCACGTATGGGGCATCCTTGATCGCCATCAGGATTTCGGCCCGCTTCACGTTCAGTGGGGTGTAATTAGTTCGGTCCGCCGTGGGAGCTCGGAACGACTGACCCGGCTTGGCCCCCCGACCTGCATCCTTTTTCTTTCGGCTGTCCCCTTGACTGGAAGGCTCTCCTTCCCTCTTCCTCTTTTCAGGCACGCCCTCGCCCTTCTGGTTGATCTCTTCCTCGGTGGCTATAAACCTGTCCGCGAGCTTAAGAAATCCGGTTATGGTCGTTGGTTGGTTGACGACCATGTGCCACTTGAACTCCTTGTGCGTCACGCCTTTCTTGGCTGCTGCAAGGCGCACGGCGGGGTTCAGGCGCGATATCTGCATACAAGCGTCGTTGAACCGCTTGATGTAGCCCCAGATGGACTCTCCCTCTCTCTGCACTATGCTAAGGAGACTCTCTTCAGTTCGTGGACACCGCTTGCTGGTAACGAAGTGGGACGTGAAGGCTTGCGCGAACTGCACCCAACTTCTTATCGACCCAGGTGCCAGGTTCCGGTACCACGTATGGGCTGCTCCTCTAAAAGTGGTGGAGAAGGCCACACACATGCATGACTCGCTGGCTCTTGCCAGGTGCATCTACGATTGGAAGGCATCTACGTGATCATTTGGGTCAAACGACCTGTCGTACTTGTCAAGAGGGGGGAGCTTAAAGTCTTTAGGCATTGGGACTGCCAGGAGCTCGGGAGATAGGGGGATTGAACTGAAAGAATGGGGGCCTTGGCTTCACCCGAGCTTACTTCTTCTTTGCCTTCGAGCTTGGGTAGGTCGTGGGTGGCAGACCGGCGAGCTCGGTGGCGTCGTCTCTGCTTCTTGGCAGGCTCGACATTAGTGCTGCTCACTTTTGTACTGTCAGGAATGGTGTGTGCAGGAAGCAGCTTAGGCCGCTGGTGATGGCTACGGACAGAGGGCTCCTGTTTGGAGCTTGCGGCCAGGATCTCGAACCGGTTCTCTAAGAACGGGGTATCGGGCTTGGAGGGCTGAGACATGTGGGCTTGGCGAGCTGGGGTCCTTCCGACCTGACCTCCCGTGGTGAGGCCAGAGTGGCCGACCTTTCCTGCCTGCTGTGGGAGGAGGCCTGGCTCCTTGGAAGGTTCCAGGGGGCCTTTCCTTGGCGGGAAAGGTGCTCCTCTTGACGATGGAACCTAGCCTACTGGGAGGCTGGGTGTCGAGGAGGGAGTTGCGATTGCTGAAGCTGAGGTTGCAGTAGCTGGGGAAACTGTTGCTGATACTGGTACTGAGAGACCTGGTGCAGCACATGCTGTTGATAGATCTGAAACTGTTGCATTTGAGCCTACATGGCCTGCATGCACTGCATCAAATCTTCCAGCTGGTTCGGGCTGGCTACTGGGGGCACAACCGAGGGTTTAGTGAAGGTTGTTCAGACTGTGGTAGGGAGTGGAGCAACGACGGGTGCCCCTACAAGAGGCACGTTCAAACTAGGGATCCCGTCCGCTGAGAGGGGGACGGTGAACTATCTGATACAGATAGTAGGGAGTTGGGGCTGTTCCGTGGAGTTATTCATCTCCGTGCTTCATCTGATGTTGCTAGAGGAAGCCAAGAGCGTTGAGTTTTTGGGGAGTAAGAGGATGTGAAAGTTTAGAGAATGGCTTTTTGAAGCGTTTTCCCACAGGCGGCACCAAATGATGTAGCGCGATCCGGTCACTCCTAGCTGGCACTCATGTGGCTCTTGGAAGGTACCTGAGATGAGGAAGAAGAAGAATCCCCAGGGAGTTTACCTGGTGGGGACACTCCGATGCTTAAGTTAGTACTATGGAGGAAAAGCAAGAAGGAGATGAAGGCTAAGAGTGCAGATAGCGTGTTCTCACTATACTTGAGAGATTAGAGCTCTCAAGAAGAAGTTTCTCTTCTGCCCTGAGGACTTTTATAGGGACACTCACATCAGGTCGGGCATAACCGCCACTAGGCTCCTGCCACAGCCATTACCTACCAGGGCTGCACAAGTGGCTGTTGTGGCATACGTCTCGCCCGGGTGAGTGACACATTTCCAAAGTGGCAGGCACACCTTTGTCTGCTGAGAGACGTGAACGCAGATTGCCGAAAGGACTGGGACTGCGCCGTCAGTAAGGGATATGGCGCAGTCTGACCGGTACGATCTGTCTGTCAGAAGCTTCCTGGAGAGCGCTCGTGCGGCTCATTCGCGAGCTATTTTGTAGCGAGCTTGGAACACTCCAAAATTACCCTTAGCAGAATTGGTCCTCGGAATGACTTGTCTGCTTGGGAGCTCGGACGAGTTAATAGCTTTAGCTCGCGAGCTAAAGTTGCCTCAGAGTATCTCTTCAAAGGTAGCTCGGGGAGCCTGGGGTTCGCGTCACGGCGAAATCCTCTCGCGAGCTACAACGTAGCGAGCTGCTTTGCAGGCCCGTCACTTGGTTGTACCAGATTACAATGCTGAGCTATCGCTCGTGCTGATTCAGTGTCCATATGTCACCGTTTCATAGGTGGGGTCAAATCACCCTCCATCACTATGTATTTATAATTTTGTACATTGAGTTTAGATATATTACACTATATTAAAAATATAATACTTCTACACCATATATTTACATAATTATATTGTACATTTATATATATTATATACAATTTCACAGTTTAGTTTGAGAAAACAAACTGAACTCATAAACCACAATTTTGCAAAATATCAAACCAAATCAAACCATTTTTAGGTGATTTTACGGTTTGAACCGTACATCAAAGAATACTAGTGTTAAAAGAGCATTTCCTCAAACAAATATTAATTAATTTCATAAAGAAGCAACTAAAAATATGGGCGAGTGGTTATTAGAAAGTTACTGACAAACCCCCATCCGCTCTTGGTAAACGGTTGACCTACAATTCTGAATTTGCAGTGGGTGGAGAGGAAGAGGTTGACATAAGGAAATTCATCGACCACAGCAGCCACACCTCCTCCTTTTCCAGGACCACGTTCGAGTGCTAAAGCATACTCTTCTGCTGAACCCAGAGGGAGAAGCCTAGATTTAGATATGCCAAGCTGCTCTGTCAGATAATGTTCAGAAAAGGATCCCACTTGATATCCAATACGGCCACCACCTTTTCTCAAGCTCTCAATTCCTCTTATAGGTGAAGACATCTCATGCACTGTGAGGATTGAGGTCAGGCTCGCAATGTAGCTCGCCTTGACGATCAGAGCCACAAAAAGCCATATGGTAATCACAAATCTGCCCAGGCTGCTCATTGTGCTGTGTCCTGGAAAAAGAAGAGAGAAAGCAAACTCAAAACAAAATTTCAAATGGTGTCTCACATCGTGGGTAAGCAGGGGAAACAGACAAGAGCTTCAGTTTCACTTACTATGCGGGAAAATTAAACTTGATAAGCTAAACCTGCAAGGTGAGAAGGAAGGATAATATTATCAGATACTAGCAGTTCTGATATTAAGAAAACCCAAATGATAGGACAGGAGATTGATTAAATAATTAACATGTTGTATTCCTAACAAAACAGAAAAGAATGGTTAGATTATAAGTTCAAATTCCAATCCCAGTATCACTTTCTGGTGGACATTAATAAAACATGTTATTGTTTGTAGATTTAAGCGTTTACAGTTTCTTCTGCTCACTCAGACTGAAAGATTTAAAATCATCAGCAGTTATATATATGTTGAAAAGAGTCTGTCATGGAGTCTTGGAAGGCATTAAAAAGAAACCGTAAGCAACTCTGCATCTAGGGGAGTCGCCAAAACCGGGGGCTCTATAACTTAGATACAAGAAGAGATGGACACCACTTACAACCCAAAAACCTAAGGTGGTGTTCGGTGGTGTGGATTGGCAACGATATATTCAGTTTCAATCCACACCACCTCTATGCCATGCGTTCGGTTGGCTGTAGTGTGGATTGATCCATACTATCTCGTGGATTGATCCACACCACAGCCCATTTTCTCATCCACGGATTTATCTCGTGGAAGTATCTACACCACACTGTTTTGCATATGGAATAATGATCCCGTACTTCACATGGATGTTTAACCCTAGTATAAGACCTCTTTTCTTTTCACCGTTGCAACACTTTTTTGTAAGCTCGTTGTTATTATTCTTCTCTACTCATCATTGCTATTCTTCTTTATTTGAACTATGGTTGTAATCAGATCGGACTCAAATTAGATGCAATAAAGCCCACATTCAATCCAATTATTGATAACCTACATCTGAATCCAATTGGCTTGGATTCGAATTCAAATCCTAATGGACTCGGATCGGATCCGGATTTAATTCGACTTCGCTATAAATTTTCTAAAATACCAAAAAAATAAAATTTATTTATTTTTCAACTTTTATATATAATAAATTAATATAAATATAAAATACTAAATTATTATATATAAATTCATATATAATATAATATATAGAATATATTTTTATAATTTTAAATATAATTATATAAAATTTATATATTAAAATTAATAAATATTATAATAATTGGTTTCATATTTTAATCGAATCGGATGGGGTCAAATCTGAGTCCAATCCGATTATTAATAGGATGTAGATTGTAACATCTGAATCCGATCCGATTACATAAATACATCATTTGAACCACTCGCCACTCCTCCTCCAACCATTGCTGCATCGGATCGTCGATGGTAAATAGTAAGTATTCATCCTTTGTTTATTCTCATGCTATATTACTCTTCTCTATTTGAACCACTCGCCACTGTTACTCATTTTTATTAATTAATATTAATATTATTTTATTAATTATCAAGCTTCAATTATTACTTTTATTAATATTAATTGTTATTGATATTATTAATTATTATTAAAATTGTTGTTAATACTATCAATTATCATTAATATTACTACTCATTTTTAATTAATATTAATATCATTATTTGTTATTTAATATTATTAATTATTACTAATATTATTTTTATTACCTATTAAAATTCTTAGTAATTTACTAATATTTTTCTATTGTGTATATTACAAAAAAATAATATATTGCCTTTTAATGATTAACGACATAGATTATCTCAAATGTTGTAGCTGAAATGCATGGAATCAAATACAATATGCAGACTAAAATATGCCACACCTTGTAGAACGCCCATGGAGGTGTGTGGATCAGTCCATACATTTTTATCCATGGTGTAGAACAACTATCTTGTCGAGGTGTGATTTGTTTTCATCCACACCACACCTCTCATCTACGTTATAGAACACCCCCTAAATTAGTGGTTTATGGGCCATGCTTATATATAAATCCCTTGCACCGCTCATTCCTTTTTAATATAGGATGACTCTCTTCATACACCACTCACACATGAATCCCAACAAAGTTAACTTTGATGAACACAACAACACTGCCCCAGTTCTGCCACATCTCCCCTGCTTCATACCCGAACATGGCCACAGTCCCCACCCATTCCCAAATATAACTGTAACCTAAATATTTTATAATATATGCTTATGTATGGGGAACTGCTCCAAAATTGAAAGATAGAATTAAGGGCTCACCACAAAGTAGTAATGATTTGTTTCCTGGGTGGACCTCTGAACTCATCATTCGTCCTATGTTCCACAAGCCAAATAACTGCTCCAACGAGAAGAGAAAAAGCACCAGTGGCACAACATATTGCTGGAGTAAATGGCCGCAGAAAAGCCCAGGCACCCGACTTCAAATTCCTAATTGGAGCCACTACAACAAGCCCAGACATGATGTATGGCTGTGTATAGTCCACAATTTTTGTCCTATTTGTGACGATTGTAATGTCCCCGACAACAGCATCAAAGACCTAAAGCAAGAAAGAAAATGAATCAGAAAAGTAAACCCACAGCCAGAAAAAGGCTCAGTGCAACCAACAATATATTTTATACTCAAGTTCATGAAGTAGGCTTCTTATATCTTACTCACATCTGATGTGATCAGATTCACAAGCTCGGTGTAGCTTGGGTTTTTGAGACCATCACCGTAGGGGATGAATCTATATGGAACACCATATGGTAACAAGTTTACAGCAGCAGTAAACACATCTATGCAGAAACCCTTCGTCAAATTGGTACCTCTCACCTGCGAGACGAATTCCCTGAACCCAACTCGCTTTGGAACCCCAATTCTCAACTCCTTGCCATGGTTGGGAAAAACCCAACCACGGGGCTTTGTTGTTGCTTCCCCAGGCCAAATTGCAGATAAAAGTTGCTGGTTTGCATAAGAGCGATTGGGTGGTTTTTCGTAGAGTGCCTCCGGCGGCACCACAGATAACCCAGAATGATTAGACCAATAACCTATTAGTCGATATCCAGTTCCAATCACGTTGATGATATCATATGCAGGACGAAACAGAGATCCGTCTGGTTGAAACTTCATTTGTCCGGTTAAACCAATTATATCCGTCTCTTGTATATTGCTCAGCAGCTTCTTCCCTCCATCGAAGATTTTCATTGCTTCAAGGTGCAGGCCACCCCCCTCTGCATCTCGTATCTTTGCATCATTAGAAAATGAGATGGTTCCACCCTGACCAAAGAATGCATCAATCGCATGAGCAACCAGCCACACGGTATCGTAAGCATAGAGGCCGTAAGAATTCAAGCCGAAGGAAGAACCACCAGTCAACCTCTTCCATCTGGAAAAGAAAGCTCTATTTCTTTCTGAATCCATCGTGTGTTGACGCAAAGTAAGAACTCCTTGCACTGAATCCATGCTCTGCGAAGGGTGAAGAGAAGAAGAATCTAAAAGAGAAGACAACCAATCAGTAGCTATCCACACATACCCATTATCCATCATTCCGAGATAGTGTGCCACAGAGAAAACCATGAGGCCTGAATCAGGATTGGCATGGACAACAATAACCCGAGACTCCATTAGAGCTACCTTAACGAGAATATCTGAGATGGCACCACGACTGATTCCACCGCCTGCGGGAATTCCAGCTTTATAAGAAATTCTACATCGTCTTTCAGCAAGTTTGTTGGCTAATGCTGCCACCCCATTCCGCCCATAATCATCATCAATAAAAATAGCGACGACCTCTCTCCAACCATAGTAATCAACCATCTCTGCAACTGCAGACATCTGGTACAGATCACTCTGTGTTGTCCTAATGAAAAAGGGAAACTGAAGCGAAGAGAGAGTGGGATCCGTGGCTGCAAATGACAGCATGGGAACTTGGAGTTCATTCGCAACCTGTGATATTACCTGGGCAATTACAGAAGATTGTGGACCAATGATAGCAATGGTATTTGTCTCCATGAATTGCAAAGCTGGAATTGATACAAATATAAAATCGTAAGCAGCATCAGGATAGGAAGGTTGTTCAGGAGTATGAAAAGCATTGCCTATGAGAATCTGGCAACCAGGAACAGTCATAATGGAGGAATAAATGCAACTGATGTTAGAATGCAGAAACATTAGAAACGAAATGAAGTACCTTCAACAATGCCAACGAACCCACTGCAATTGGAATTTTGCATCTTGATAACCAGTTTTGTTCCATGAAGAACACTGGAATTGGAGTTGACATCGTCCATTGCTGCCTCCAGTGCAATCTTAGCGACTCTACCGATGGTAGAGTCAAAACTTAATATGGCTCCAATGTTCACAACAGAGGGTCTTGATGAGGAAGAAACGTTTTCTGTGACCCCATCCGGCACAACTCGAGAACAGAAAACCACAAAAAGAAGCAGCAAAACCACTTCAATATTGGTTGGCTCCATGATGAACAAAGGCCCAATTATCTTCCCCTGCGCCCAAAATTAAGAAGATGGGAGATATCTTTTCACAACCAGTGATAGTAATCAGGAATCAGGCATCAGAGCTCTGAGAAAACAAAACTCAAAATACATCGCATTCCCACCCAAATAGAAAAAGAAAGTTGTATAGGTTTTTCGAGTGCGTTTGTAAGGAGTATAAATACAAATATGTAGAGTGCAAAACCTTATATTTTGTATGTTTGTTTACTGTGCATATATTTGTATTTGTACTCCTTCCAAACTGAGTAACTTGAACGAATTCTTATTAGATCAAAATCAATCAATTGATCAAAAGCTGTGCTCATTAGAAGGAAAGGAATTCTTATTAGATCTTGATGTAAAACAAAGTAAAAGACGTTATCTTTTGCGTTGCACAAGCAGCTAAGTTTAATAGCTCGCCTGCAAAAGAAGACGTCAAAAATCAAAATGGTATCTTTGGAAAGAGTAGAGTCACGTCATTTCAGTAGAACAGCTTCTTTTTCAAAGGAGTGGGGGCCTTGTAAAACAAAGTTAAGCTAGTGAGAAAAACAACACACACCAACGTGAATTGCATTTCTGAGGTTTAAATAGAGTAAAGAGGAAGAGTTCGAATCGAACTCTACAGTTCAAACTCTATCACAATCCTGATTTTGGGTAAGCCTTATTTTCTCCTTATCTAATATCCCCCCCTCAAGTTATACGTGGACATTGCACGTTTAACTTGGATTGAAGTAAGGAGAGGCAACTGAAGGTAAGAGCCTTGGTAAGGCAATCTGCAATCTGATCAGAGGATGGAACATGTTGAATAAGGAACTGCTTTTTGGCAACAAAATCACGCACAAAATGTATGTCGATTTCAATATGCTTCGACTTGGTATGAAGGATTGGATTCGCAATAAAAAATGTAGCACTAATGTTGTCACAAAATAACGTTGGAGCTGATTGAAGAGGGAATTCAATCTCATGTAGCAAAGAGCGAATCCATATAGTTTCAACAGCAGCAGAAGCGAGGCTCCTATATTCACTCTTAGTGCTGTGGACCTGGCAACAGTTGTTTGTTTCTTAGAGGACCAAGAAACCAGATTGTTACCTAGGTAGATACAGAACCAACTTTGGGACTTGTGATCTACTGAATCTCCAGCCCAATCAGCATCCGAAAAAGTGAATAGAACATTAGTGGATGATGGAGTTATATAGAGCCCATAATGCATGGTGGCCTTTAGATAGCAAAGGAGGCGTTTCACATCAGTCTAGTGAGCAATGATGGGGTTATGCATATGTTGACTGGCCTTGTTGATAGAGTAATCTATGTTTGGCCTGGTCAATGAGAGATACTGAAGAATGCCTATAATACGTTGGTACTGAGTAACATCAGAAATTGGGTCATTGTTTTAATACACAACATAAAAGTGGAGAAGAGTGGTGTACGAGCTGGTTTGGCATCAAGCATACTAGCACTTGTAAACAAATCAATAATATACTTATGTTGTGTAAGAAAAAGACCACTTGGAAGATGAGTTGCTTCTACACCCAGAAAATAATGAATCCCACCAATATCTTTGATAGCGAACTGAGAGCTTAAGGAGGAGATAAAAGATGAGACAAGATCAATGTTAGTCCCTGTGATGAGAATATCATCAACGTAAACAAGTATAAAAAGAGAGTTGTCATCAGCATGTTTATAAAATAATGAGTGATCAGCTCTAGAGTATGCGAATCCACACAGGTGTAAAAAATTTGCAAGCTTGTTGTACCAAGCCCGTGGAGCTTGTTTCAATCCATAAAGAGAACGCTTTAACAGGAAAACATGGTTGGGCTTTGCAGCATCTTTAAAGCCTAAAGGGTGCTCCATATAGACAGTTTTAGCTAGATCTCCATGTAAGAATGCATTTTGCACAACAACTTGATGGATGGGCCAGCCTCACGAAACAACAATAGAAAGCAAGAGTCTGATGGTGGTGGGCTTAACAACGGGACTGAATGCCTCATGATAATCTACTCCTTGTTGTGAAAACCCCTTGGCGACAAGACGAGCTTTGTACCGTTGTATGCTTCCATCAGGGCCACGTTTCAAATGGAAAATCCATTTGGATCCAATGACATTATGGTTAGTAGGGTGAGGTACAAGAATCCAAGTGTGGTTACGTTGCAAAGCTTCAAATTCTTCTTACATGGCCAAGCACCAATTCTCGTCTCGAAGGGCTTGTTTGATGGAGGACGGTTTAGAAATGGGTTCAATAGGTGGGTGTTTGGGAGCAAGATATAGTTTAGGCTTGAAGATACCACTTTTAGCTCTAGTGATCATAGGATGAACATTGGTTGGTGGTGGCTCAGTATGAATGGTTGAAGAAGAAGGTGGTTGGTGATGAGAAGTGGACATTTCAGTTAGAGGTGAATGAGTAGGAGAAGGGCTAAAATGTGGTGGTGAGGTTACAGGTTCAATGGCAATAGATGGGATTGATTGGATTGGAGGAGTTACTGAAGAAGGTTCTATAGAAGGCAAGGGCGCGAGTATAGGTGGTTTGGGCAAAATGATTGATTGAATGGGAAGGGAAGGGGTAATAGTAGGAGTAGAGGATTCAGTACTTTGTGAAGTTCTGTCTTTGAAGGGAAAATGATGTTCATTGAATAGCACATGACGAGATACATACCAACGTCCACTGAAAGGATCATAACACTTGTAGCCATGATGATTTGTGTTGTAGCCCAAGAAGATGCAAGGTGTAGATCTGAAATCCAATTTATATTTGTTGTAGGGCCTTAAAAAAGGTAAGCATGGACAACCAAACACCTTGAGAAAGCTGTAATTTGGTTTTTCATGAAACAATTTCTCATATGGAGACTTGAAACCAAGAATTCATGTAGGCATCCAATTGTAAAGATAAACAGCGCTAGAGAAAGCACCCCACCAATAAATCATTGGAATAGAAGCTTGACCCAGAAGAGTCAAACCACATTCCACAATAATACGATGACGTCATTCAACACAACCATTTTGCTCAGATGTATGAGGACAAGTAAGACGATGTGTTATCTCGTATTGCTCTAAGATGGGCCAAATCTTGTGAAATTCACTACCACCATCAGTTTGCAATGCTTTTATTTTGGTGCCAAGAATATTCTCAACATTAGCCTTGAAATTCGGGAAAACATTGATGATTTTTGCTTTAAGGGAAAAATCCACAAATATTTGGTGAAGCCAACAACAAAACTTATATAATATTTATAATCATCATGAGAGGTGATGAAGGGTTATTTGGCGCGACCTAGAAAGAAGGGGACACGTGGACACGATCTGACTAAGAGATAACAACTCAGACCAGCAAGCCTAGTTCGCAACAATTGAGCTCGGGTATCCATTCACCTCGGCACAGGATCACCTCGGTGCAGAGTCACCTCGGCTTCAAGGCACCTCGGCATCCAATCCAGTTTGGAACTAAAAGACCGAAATATCAGCTCGGGGCTACCATCCCGGACTGCCATGTAACAATCCCGGAAGTCTCTCCAACAAACTCCAAATCCCATGGGATCACGCCGCGTAACAGCATGCCTAATCCTCTCCCCGCCCGGATCGGGCAGAATTGATAATCTTTATTAGTTGATAACGTTACTCCCCAATTAAAGCGAAAATGAATCCCATCAGGACGAAGATCCCAGAACCGATCCACAAACCCGCAAGGGCTCAACTATATAAAGGCACCAACCCCAATAACACAAGGTACGTGTGATTTTTCTACTCTCTAGCTCTCTACCTCTCTAAGCTCTCAAAGCTTTTTCAGCTCGCATCAGTTTACTGACTTAAGCATCGGAGCGACCTCGTCGGGTTAGCCACCCCGGGTTCTCTGATCCTGTCTTGCAGATTCACTTAGCTCACTGCCCGACTGGAAGCCAAATCGTCCTCCAGCAGGGAGTAGTCAGATCGCGCTACATCAATTGGCGCCATCTATGGGAACACGATCGAAAAGCTTTCTCTACAGTTACCAACTTTTCTCTGAATCAATGGCATCTTCCAATCATGCCAGACAGAGTAGCGAGATAAACGTCTCCAGGGGCAACCCCAACTTCCTTCGGTGTGCATCGGTCAGTTCACCATCCCGCTTATTGCGGATAGGGTTCCAACACTGACCATGCCACCAAACACCACATAGGTAAACGCCCCACTTCCCCTAGTGGTAGGCGCAACCTTTTCTGAACTATCTGTGGTTCCCCCCTGAGTTGGACAGTCACAGTTTGACGACCTGGTGCAGTGTATGCAGGCCATCCAGGTCCAAATACAGCAAGTTCAACAATTCCAGTAGTACCAGCAGTACTTATTCTACAAGCAGTACCAGCAGCAGTTCCCTCCACTGCCGCAGAGCCAGCAGTCGGTTCCACCTTGGCACCCAGAGGCCCAGCAGAATCTGAACAGACCACCTCGTGTGAGCCAGAACATTCAATCTCCCCACCGAGGCGAAGAGACCTCCCAAGTCTCAGTTCCTCCTGGGAGTTAGGTCTCACCCCGCGGGAGGGGAAACGGTCAAGTTACTCCACCTGCTTCGCAAGGGAACCTCGAAAACAGGTCCGGGGATACTTAGCCTAACAGGGCTAATCTTCCTAGGCATTCGTAGCAAGAAGGTGGGTCGCTCGTAGGTAACCAGTTCGGGGTTCTAGGTGCGAACTTAAGGCAAGGCCTCTCTGTTCATGACAACCAGCCCCAGAATCCCATGAGGAACCAGGAGTTACCTCGCGGCAGGACAGTACCGGAGCATATTGAGATTAGCAGCACCAATGTCGAGCCGATAAAGAAGCAGCAACGGAGGCGTCACAAGGCACGCCGTACTTCAACTCAAAATAGCCAGCCAGTAAGACCGAACCAACAAGAATAGGCTAAAGGTAAGGAGGAGGCGATCTCGGTAGCTACAAAGGCCGCTCCTCCCCAACTTTCCGAGTCATCTCCCCTGTCTCCCGAGCTCTTGGCGACCCCAATGCCCAAAGATTTCAAAATGCCTCCCCTAGACAAGTATGACGGGTCCTTTGACTCTAATGATCATGTGGACTCCTTCCAATCCTAGATGCACCTAGATGGGGCTGACAAGTCTTGCATGTGTGTGTCTTTCTCCACCACTTTCAAGGGGGTAGTTCGGACATGGTACCGGAACCTTGTGCCAGGATCGATCAAGAGCTGGGCACAGTTTGCAGAGTTGTTTACCTCGCATTTCATCACAAGCAAGAAGTGCCTGAGGTCGTAGGAGAGCCTCCTCAACGTGGTTCAGAGAGAAGGGGAGTCGATTAGAAGATACATCAAACGCTTCAACGACACCTGCCTGCAGATCCCTGACTTAGACCCGGCGGTAAGACTCACAGCAGCCAAGAAGGGAATAACTCACAGAGAATTCAAATGGCATGTGGTGGCCAATAAACCAAAAGACATCATAGAATTTCTCAAGCTAGCCGACCAGTTCATCAGAACCAAAGAGGAGATAAACCAGAAGACTGACAACCCGACAGAAAAAAGAAAAAGAGGCAGTGACAACACAGGTAATTATGGGCATAAAAGAAGAAAGAGTAAGTCCCCGAGCAGGGAGGAAACAAGTCTGGGAGCCGATCTCCTTCGCGATCTTGCAAGTCAGGTCGGCACTCTAGGACCCCACCTGTTGAAAGGTCAAACTACACACCTCTCAACGCTAAGCGAGGAGAAATCCTAATGGCCATCAAGGACTCTTCCTTCATCAATTGGCCTCCTAGGTTGAAGGGAGATCCCGAAACAAGAAACAGGAA